TTTTTTTTTGAGACAGATTCTGGCTCTGACACCTAGGCTGGAGTTCAGTGGTGCGACCTTGGCTCACTGCATCCTTGACCTCCTGGGCCCAAGCATTCCTCCCACCTCAGCCTCCCAAGTAGCTAGGACTACAGGTGTGCTCCACCACGCCCAGCTAATTTTGTTTGTTTTTTCAGAGACAGGGTCTCACTTTGCTGCCTAGGCTGGTCTCAAACTCCTGGCCTCAGGCAGTCCTCCTTCCTCGGCTTCCCAAAGTGTTGGGATTATAGAAGTGAGCCACTGCACCTGGCCTTAGATTCACTTAAATAAGCTTTTTAAAACAGCTCACTCTTGTTCCTATCATGTCTGTGGTAAGCTTCAGAACGGTGTCAATATCTAAAATCATATTCAAAATTTTTCAACTTGACAGGCCCTAATGTCAGAGAGTACTAAAACCACATGGGTCTTCATTTTAATATCACCACCAGAAGCTCACACAGTGATCGTCCTTCCTGAGCATGGCATGCATTTTCCACAAGCAATGAAAACATCTGACAACATGGGTCCTAGAAAATGTATAAGTGTGGGCTACATCATCTGTCTCACAGTTTGATTATGAATTTTTATTAAATAAACTCACTATGTAATACATTGTGCCATACAGCTTGGGAAAGTTCCTAGACATCAGGAAATCAGCATGTTCTCAAGCAAATACACTTTATAGATATCCATCTCAGCAGGAGAAACATCTAAAGGAGAAAATCATGAAACTACCAGAATGTGGCCAAAGGGAAAACTATCCACTGATAATTCCAGATTTTTTGCTTCGGTTCTCTCCTATTCCCATCCCGTCCCTGGAGAAAACAAGAAAACAAAATTTTTTTCTTTTCTTTTCTTTTTTTTTTTTTTTTTTGAGACAAGATCTCCCTCTGCTGCCTAAACTGGAGTGTAGTGGCCCTATCTCCACTCATTGCAGCCTCAATCACCCAGGCTCAAGCAGTCCTCCCACCTGTGCCTCCCAAGTAGCTGGGACTCCGGAGACATGCCACCATGCTAATTTTTTAGGTTTTGTTTTGTTTTGTTTTGTTTGTAGAGATAAGGTCTCACTATGTTGCCCAGGCTGATCTCAAACCCCTGGGCTCAAATGATCCTCCTTCCTTGACCTCCCAAAGTTTTGGGATTACAGGCATGGGTGACCACATTCAGTGCAAATTGTTTTATACCAAGACAAAAATGATCATGCAAAAGAAACTGATAAATTAACAAGCAGTTGGAACGAAAACAATTTGTTAATGCTTCCTTGGCGTTACAAATATTGGAATGGTAATGGGTTGAATCCATTCTATTAAAATAGGATGACTGTGGGGTTTTTTAGGTATTCTTCCACCACCTCTGATTTTTCTGGGAACCATTACAATTCTACAATCCTTTTCCCTCCGAGTGATCTTGGTCACTTTCATCACTATCAATTCATCCACTATTTGTACCATTTGGCTAGGACTTGGCTAAAAGGGCAGCCAGGTGTATCGTAATGATGTCAGACTATAGCAGTGTAACCTCCATGATGCATTCACAGGTTGCATTGCAGAGAAAGGGAAGGAAAGAGTGCAGTTCCAATGATGAATTTTGACTTACAACTCACACTCCCTTCGGCAAACAGATTTAAGGATGTCTTGGAAATATTGTTCAATATACATGTAACAAAATGTGACCATCTTTCCTCTGTTATGTGGAGGGTTTGATTCTTTCTGTATTCATAATATCTTTCAATTTGGTTGAACATGCAGTCCCTAAGTTATAAGCAAGTGTCAGTCACTACTTATGGTTGCTCCTAAGAGAAAATTAGACCTTGCTTTAGTTTTTTCTTCCAAAATGACAACTTTTTATTTCTTAACAATTGTCAGCAATTTGCATATGCTGGATTGACTTACCTTCATGATGTTTTGAAGTTAAGACAATGTATTTGGCACCAGAGGCCTGAAAAATATCTGCCCACTGGTTGGCATTAAAAAATTTTGCTGTAAATAGTGGTCCAAAATCTTCATATTTGAAACTAGGAGGGTAATTATCTTTCATGAATTCCACATACTTCGGTATCTTTTCCTTTTGCCAATACCACCTAAGGGGAGGAAAGGAAAGACCGTATAAACAACACATACACACACATTTAAAAGAACTGCTCCAGCTCCCTTTACCATTTACCCCTCATTCAGATACAGTAGGACCCATATTCTCTTTCTCACTTCCCCATTGGTTTGACTTGGCTTTAAAGAAAGCTTATGCAAACTAAACTCCCCTCTCTATCTATCCCCCTGTGAAATCCACTTGGCTCATAAACTAGAGCATTCTAGGCAACTCAGCTACCCATTCTCTCTTTTTTTTTTAAGACAGGATCTCACTCTGTCACTCAGTTTGGAGTGCAGTAGTGCAACCTTGACCTCCTGGGCACAAGGGATCCTCTCGCCTCAGCCTCCTGAGTAGCTGGGACTACAGGCATGTGTCACCACACCTGGCTATTTTTTTTTTTCTTTGTGGAAATGTGGTTTCCATGTGTTGCCCAGGCTGGTCTTAAACTCCTGGGCTCAAGCAACCCTCCTGCCTCAGCCTCCCAAAGTCAGGATTATAGCATGAGTCACCATTCCCAGCCCCATTCTCTTTTAATTCTTCACCTTTAAATCACAACATGTAGTATGTGTTATTACACATTGTCCTTTGTAACGTAAGTGACTAGGGCTTCTGAACGGAAGACTACATGCCTAAAACATAACATGCATCTATTATATTCACTAGTAGAGAAAACTTTGGAGGCACAGCACAGAAAGAGAAGCAACAATAAAATTAAGATGATGTTGTTATTTTAATTAATGGACTCAACCTTCAAGGATTACTTGCTATATGCATTGATTCTAAGCATTGGTATATTGATCCTAAACTGCATAAGCAAGACATCATGAGGAAAAGCACATCTAAACATTTTAAACACAGAATAACCATCCTCATGAAATAGATGCAACCCCCATTTCTGACCCACCTCCTACTTTTTCTATGACCATTCCTTTCATAAGAGTATTTCTACAGGATAAGCAAATCCATAATCAGCGCTACATTTCATAAGATGATCAGGAGACTCTTTCTGCTAAGAAGACATAATTGAAGGGCATACTATGTGGCAGGCATGTTGTTTGCCTACCCAAAAGTCATATTTACCTAATTTCCCAGCTTCCACTACAGCTAAAACAGGGATGTAAGATCCATCGTGGCCAAGGGAACTTTAGGGTAAGCAGACTTTGAGAATTCTGGACATGGTTTCCCTCCTAATGAAAAGAGACACTGGTCCTCCTGCCTTTGTGCAAGGCTGTGTGAAGCTATGATGCCTGGCTGCCATCATGTGACCATGAAGGGACAAGTCCCCAGACTAAGGATGACAGAAAAAGCCTATGTCTTTCATTTCATCAATGAACCAGCTACCTCTAAATTTCCTGTTATGTGAGATAATATAACCCCCTATCATTATACCTTTTACTTGGGTTTTTGATACCTTAAAGTGAAAGTATCCTAACGGATCCATGAAGCATTTTTATTATTTATTTATTATTGATTGATTAGTTGAGACAGGGTCTTGCTCTATCACCCAGGTTGGAATGCAGTGGCATAATCATACCTCACCACAGTCTTGAACTCCTGGGCTCTCCCACCTCACCCTCCTAAGTAGCTGGGACTATAGGCATTACCTTTTAAATTGAACTGCAAAAAAGAAACTGGACATTCAGAAAGTTGAAAAAAGGAGAGAATTTCTCCTAGCATCATCTAATTTGAACCTGCATTCTCCCCTACTGTCTAGACTCAAATTTCATGCTGAGAGATGAAAAGAGGCATTTCTGGTAGAAAGTCCATCGTTTATATTTGCTTTTTAATAGCCATTTAGGACAGTCAGATATACTTATCTGTACAGTTGATTGCCCGAAAGTCAAATTGAGAGTAAGGAGCAGAGGATACAAAGGGAAATCATAGATAATTTAAAAATCTTCCACAGGGTTAATGCATTTCCAGATCTTCAGAAATGTGTTCTCTATTTTGTTTAGTATGAGAAGTATCTTTATTGTTCTAGGTCAAAACAAACAACCATGGGTTTATTTGTAGAAAATTAAGTTATTTGTAGCAAAGAATAAAATGACTCAAAAGTAGCTGTTTTATTTTGGCATAGTACCAGTTTTAACAAACGTCAAATCCTTTTCTGGTACCAATATATCTTTACCTAATCTTCATGATTGAACAAAATGATAATATAAGATACAATTTAGGGGGAAGAAAATGTGTTAATTATGTACCACACTAATCTAAAACATTTCCAAAATAAACTCAAGATTCCTTACAGCCCAAAACATGCAAATAAATGTTTGTAACATCTTTTTGAAGTAGCTATGTTTTGGTATAAGAAGAAAGAGTCTCTGTTTTACAAGTTGAATTATTTAAAGTATATGAATAATTCTCCATAGCTTACCCAGTTTTATTTTTTACATCAACTGACCTACTAATAAGAAAGGTTATTGGTTGCAGGTAGTCAATCTCTTTGTAATGAAAGGGCTAAAATACGCTACTGTGGCATATTATTAAAGGTAAAGAAACTTGAAAAATAGCAGAAGCATGAAGAGCACTTTGACCTTTGTGCTGTTTCTTAGGAGCAGAAGATGAAATTCCAGTGTGAAAGATACTCTATACTAGAAGAAAAGGCAACATCCTAAGCTTCACAGACAAGAAGTAGAATACTGTACAGACCTTGTTCAAATAACTCTTATTTTTTAAGCCTCCCCATATAATTTAATCACACAATGTCAATTTAATTCTCGGACCTAGCAGAGACCCTAACGGAATGGCGATGCAATTTTTCTACTCCTACAGGAAGCATGGTACAGTGTATACTATGTAATGTTAATATAACATATAGCTCATATTCTGTATTGTGTCTATTAAATATAGTATGTTAATTTGGATGTATACTATTTATGTAGTATATAGTTGATTCAAATAAATACTTACTGTGTAATGATTCTTTATTTTACTTAAGAATATATTATGTGCCCCAAAGTGCTGGGATTACAGGCATGAGCCACTGCCGATCACCTGAGGTCAGGAGTTTGAGACCAGCCTGGCCAACATGGCAAATCCCTGTCTCTACTAAAAAATACAAAAAATTAGCCTGCATGGTGTTGCATGCCTGTAGTCCCAGCTACTCCATAGGCTGAGGCATGAGAATCGCTGGAGCCCGGTGGGCGAAGGTTGCAGTGAGCCAAGATCACCCCACTGCACTCCAACCTGGGCGACAGAGTCAGATTCCGTCTCTAAATAAATATATAAAATAAAAGAATATATTATGTGCATGTATCTATATATGCACACAAAATACTTCTATTTTAAAGAACTTAATACTTGTAGCATTTAGCCAGAAAAGACATGTGCAACAGTTTAAGAAATTATATGCACATTTTCACATAGATCTCAAAGTAAAATCTAAAGCACAGATTTTTGTGCAGCACCTTTCATATGACAGTATAACTGGGTTGTGTTAAGAGTACCATTCTAGAGTAGCTGGGATTATAGGCACGTGCTACTATGCCTGGCTGATTGTGTGTGTGTGTGTGTGTGTGTGTGTGTGTGTGTGTGTGTGTGTTGTGTAGAGATGCAGTCTCACCATGTTGCCCAGGCTGGTCTCGAACACGAGGGATCAAGCAATCCGCCTGTCTTGGCCTCCCAAAGTGCTGGAATTACAGGCATGAGCCACCGCATCCGGCCTGTTTGTCTTTTATAAATTTTTAAACTGGCCGGCTGGCTGGGCGCAGTGGCTCATGCCTGTAATCCCAGCACCCCAGGAGGCTGAGGTGGGAGGATTGCTTAAGCTCAGGAGTTCAAGGCTACAGTGAACCATGTTCACACCACTGCACTCCAGCCTGGGCAACAGAGCAAGACCCCATCTCTAAAAAAACAAAGGCAAACAGCTGGTTAGGAGAATAGCTGAGACCAAAACTGAGTCTCCCAGACTTGAGGCTCTTTCCACTATACCATATTGTTGGCCATGATTTTCTCCTCACTCTTGCTGTTGCCTGAATGTGGATTCCTTTAGCAGTTGCATATCCATATGCCATGAGTAACAGGAATACTTAAAGCTACAAAAAAAAAAGATGCTTTATGAAATGTCCAGAAAAGGCAAAATACAGAGACACAAAGCAGACTAGTGGTTGCCTGAGGCTGTGAGTGAGAACAGGATTCGCAGCACACCGGCAGGAGCGATCTCTTTCGGATGATGGAAAATGTTCTAAAACTGCATTGTTGTGATGGATGCACAAGTCCGTGAATGTACTAAAATTGTATGCTTAACAAGTGAATTTTATGGTGCCTAAGTGTAATTATACCTCAATAAAGCTCTTTATATATATATATAAAAAAAAGTACCATTCTAGAACCTCTTTTAAAAGTTCCTGGAGCCACACATGGGTAACATGTTAACGTTAAATAGCCAATGGTGTTCAAATGAACAGTCATTTCACATACTCGTGACTATGTTTTAACCATAAGTTCACTGCAGAATGACTGCAAATTGGCAGAGCAACCATGAGCCATTGTGTCTGAGTCCGCGCTCATGTGATGCCCTGCACAAACTGATGAATGTGTCTAGTAGCTCGATGTCGTAGTGTCATAACTACAGCTTCATATGCGCAACTGTGAAGAAGCTGAGGAGTCAGGTGTGTCTGAAAACTCTTGCAGTTACACGGAAGAAAAATTCCCTGTTCACTCAGCACGAACCACTTAGGCAAGAAACGCCACATTCGACACCCGGAAGTGCGAAACGCCGGTAACGCAGTGGGAGGTGAAACCGACTAGGGTGCAGGCAGCACCAGGCGGCGAACGAGGCCCGCTGGGTAGTGGCTGGAGCCTGCCGGTAGGGTCAAGGGCGCCGAGGAGGAGACGGAAGGGAGCGCACTCACCAGAACCACTCGCTACCGAAGCTGGGCACGGAAAACACGCCCCAGTGGATGAAGATGCCGAACTTGGCCTGGTCGAACCACGCGGGCAGCTGGCGGGCGTCCAGGGACTCCCAGGTGGGGTCGAAGCGCGCAGCACTGCGGGCAGGGCAAGGCGGCAGCAGCAGCGGCAGCAGCAGCAGCAGCGAGAGCACGAGCCCGGGGAGCTCCCGGGACCGCATGTCCCCGCGCGGGCCGGCTGTCTTCTTTGCAGGCTGGCGCGGCCTCACCAGCGCTGTTCTTCCGCATTATTGCTGCTGAGTATGGCGCGCCGCTGTCACCTGACCAAGCCGGACTTGGAAACAGGCCACCCTTCCCCCTCCGGGGCGGGAGCGACCACTCTTCCGGGCGCTCGGAATAACCCCAGGAGGGCTGCATCGCTCAGCGTGACTGAGGCCCCCAGTACCCCAAAGCCAGCTGCCATGGCTTTGCTAAGGCTCTATCCGCTTTGAGGGGGAAAATATGAGTCTGTGTCAGGGCCCTGTGACCAGCGCCTCTGCCCTCAAGCAGGCACGACCCTGCCCAAAAATCTGCCCAAGAGGACCACGCCACCAGCCCGCCCGGGTGGCTGCTCCACACGTCCGAGTCGTGGACGAGAAGGTCAAGGCAGTAACCTCAGCCAGGTCTCGCCAAGATGGAACATGGAAAGTAACCTAGATCGTTCTCAGCCCCTGTATCAGCTCCCAAGGTCTGTATGTTAGAACTGTGGCTGTCAACCTCGAATTTATGTCAGAGGAAATTCCAAGAGCTTCAGATTCAGCAGTTAGGTTGGGGCCCAAGAATTTGCATTTCTACCCAGTTCCTAGAAGATTCTGATGTTGGGCTAGACATGATGGCTCCCGCCTGTAATCCCAGCACTTTAAGAGGCGGAGGCAGGCAGATCACAAATCGGGAGATTGAGACCATCCTGGCTAACACGATGAAACTCCGTCTCTACTAAAAATACAAAATATTAGCAGGGCGTGGTGGCGTGCGTCTGTAGTCCCAGCTACTGGGAAGGCTGAGGCAGGAAAATCGCTTGAACCGAACCCGGGAGGCAGAGGTTGCAGAGGGCCGAGATGGCACCACTGCACTCCAGCCTGGGCAACAGACAGAGATTCTGTCTCAAAAAAAAAAAAAGATTCTGATGTTCCCAGCAGGTGGGCCAAACTTTCCTGAGAACCACTGCATTAAACAAGGAGATTATATGAGACAGGTGAAACCAGTGGAATGAATGTTTAAGAAATCCGCAAGTTGGGAAAAGAAGCCATCAACAACTTGGAATGATTAATCAAAAGGACATTTGGGAAGCTTATCTCCTCCACCTGATTTTTGTTGTTGTTGTTTTGAGACAGTCTCACTGTTGCCCCTGCTGGAGTGCAGTGGCACAATCTAGGCTCACTTCAGCCTCTGCCACCCTGGTTCAAGCAATTCTCCTGCCTCAGCCTCCCAGGTGGCCAGGACTACAGGCACCCACCACCATGCCAGACTAATTTTTGTAATTTTTTTTTTTTCATAGAGATGGGTTTCACCATGTTGGACTGACTGGTCTTAAACTCCTGACCTCAGGTGATCCGCCCACCTCAGCCTCCCAAAGTGCTAGAATTACAGGCATGAGCCACCATGCTCGGCCTCTCCTCCACCTCTTAAGTGTTTTCAAAGTAAAGCCAGAATCCCCAACTGCTTCTGCCCCCACGAAATCGTTACCCTTCAGTGAGCCAATTCAAATGCCACCTCTTCTGTGAAGCTTTCTGCCACCACCCTTCCCTCCCAGAACGTTGTACTTTCCCTAACCTGCTTCATAACACCTTCTTCCAAGCACACACAGGATTCCACGCATCCTCTAGCAGCTAGCTAGGTGTTACAGGTCTGGTTTCCCACCAGACTGTGAGCTTTGTGAGGGCATTCATAATGACCTTCCTTTCTGTATTGCCCACATTTACGGCAGAAAAGCAACACTCAAAATGTTTGTTGAAGCTCTCCAGTGAACTGAGGTTCTAATTATCGAATAAAAAACTTGACACTAAGAGGCCTGCATTCTCCCATCCCATTTCTGCAGAGAGACAGGAGCAGCAGAGGGCACTGTCACTGCAGGTGTAGGGGCATTTTTCCTCCTGATGACACGCCAGATGGCCCCCTGGAGCCACAGCTCCACTATAAGGGTCCCCAGTTTTGTTTTGTTTTTTTTTACAATGAGGGTGGTCTAGAAGAAAGGACTCAGTGAATCCGCTGAGCATGGATTACCAATTGCAACAGCTCCAGTTTGTGATAAAGAAAGATGACAATGTTTTTTTTGAGACGGAGTCTCATTCTGTTGCCCAGGCTGGAGTACTCTGGCACAGTATTGACTCACTGCAACCTCCACCCCTGGGGGTTCAAGCAATTCTCTTGTCTCAGTCTCCCGAGCAGCTGGGATTACAGATACCACACCTAGCTAACTTTTGTATTTTCAGTAGAGACAGGGTTTCACCATGTTGGCCAGGCTGGTTTTGAACCCCTGATCTCAAGTGATCCTCCCACCTCAGCCTCTCAAAGTGCTGGGATTACAGGCATGAGCCACTGTGCCTGGCCTGACAATTTTTATTATCTAGTTGGTGAAACCCAGAATGATCTAGGGCCTCAGTGGCCACTGAATGCTGGGGCATGCTTGAACCAAAAGATGGACTTCTCAGCCACTATGTGTTGACATCCTCTCTAATCAGAAGTTTTTGTAATAAGCACAAAAGACAATTTCACAGTGACAATGATACTATGACCTGCCAAGGGGCGAGTAGACATGACTGTGGTGACAATGCAGCAGCAGCAGGACCCTGTCCTCTCATGAGTGGGCATCATTTCCCCACGTGAACACCACAGAGCAAAAGTGTCCATCTTCCAAAGGCCTTTTATCATGTTATGAATTATTTACACTTTCATATATTTCAGTTAAAGAGTGGTCATCAGATATGCATGGATGCCACTTGGGTCATTTATTATTTCACTTGAAGGCAAAGAAATGTTTTTAATTCATAAGTACAACCTTATCATAAAAGTCTATTTTCTGTAAGAAATACTGAAACTATATTAAAGACCTCCCTTAGTGCCCTTCAGGACACGTAAGAACCCTAATATAGGGCGGGCACAGTGGCTCATGCCTGTAATCCCAGCACTTTGGGAGGCCAAGGCAGGAGGATCACAAAGTCAGGAGTTCGAGACCAGCCTGACTAACGTGGTGAAACCCCATCCCTACTAAAAATACAAAAAATAGCCAGGCGTGGTGGCACATTGCCTGTAATCCCAGCCACTCAAGAGGTTGAGGCAGGAGAATTGTTGAACCTGGGAGGCAGAAGTTGCAGTGAACCGAGATTGCACCGCATGACTCCAGCCTGACGTCAGAGCAAGACTCTGTCTCAAAAAAAAAAAAAAAAAAAGAATCCTAGTATACCAGGTTGAGAACCATTGCTATGGGATTTGAAAGGAATCACAAATAGTATTATCTGGAAATGAAGAGGAAGAAGAGATTCTACTTAAAAATATTTGTTAAATGACTGAAAAAAAGAAATCTATGAAGTAGTTTAGAACATGGTCCTTTATGGAGAGACCCGCCTGCCATAGATTCCATTCACATTTTATAAGTTTGTAATGCCTTACAAAGCTAGTCTTTGCACATAAAGCTACTGCTAACTGAGCAATAGAATCACACCTCATAAGGCTTAAACTGTCTGTTTAAAGGTTTTGATAGGGGACCCAGAAATCTGAGCAAAACCCTGGGTTCTGCAGGTGCACATGTATAAGGCATTTGAAAAGTGTGTGGCCTTGATGGGGAACACTGTCAACTCCGATCCTGTTTGTCTGAGGTCACTTGGGGTACAAGATGAAGACAGAAGGACGTACCTCCCTTCTGGAGCCACCACAGCCAGCAGCCTGCTGATACTTAGGGTGCCCAGGCAGGAGAGGGTGAGAGGCCAGTCCTGGCCAAATTCCTTGCTGCTGCCGGAGGAAGCAGTCTGGCCACGTGTGTCCACAGGGATATGATTAGCTGCCGAGGTGGAGCTGATAGCTGAGCGAGGCTCTCGAGGACACGTTCTGGATAGATCTCCACATAGGAGTTGGATGACTGCCACCAGCCAGTCTTGGAAGTCCCCAGAGTTCTTCCGAAGTGGACAGTGGAAGAAGTGAAACATTTGCCCGGCAGCTGACATCAGCGCAGTCTCTCTCTGGATATGCAGAAGAAAAGATTCAAAAGGAGCTGAACCCAATCCAGTCTTTATATGGTAAATAGCCCAGCTTCGTGGTAGAAGAGCAGGCATGGGGGAAATAAAGAAAACTCGCCTTTTTCAGGCCGGGTGGCAGGGAAGCGAAGCACAGAGAAATAAAGGGAGGAGGCCCCAGGGTTCAGCAGAGAGGGGAGAGCCGCCAAGCCGTGACCCCGCTCCAGCCTCTGCCATAGAGCTGTGTGATCCTGGGGAAGGCTTTGGAAGGTGTTCAACCTCTTTGTGCCTCAGTTTCTTCACTTATTCAATGTGAATGATAATTGTACATCTTCCTCCTAGGGGTGTTGTGAGAATTAAATCACGCAAAGTACATGTTAAGCCTCGTCTACATGTGGACCAGTATTGCTGTGTGTGTGTTCAATAAATTCAGGGGAACCTACGGAAAGGGTATTTCTCTCCTGATTCCCATTTAGCCTGAAGTCCTAAATGACAATCAGGATAGAATATCCTGATTAAGACTTGGGCTAACTGGCAAGTATAGCAAGGTACAGCCATGTTAAAGAGGCTACTTTTTAGCTTTCCTGGGGTGACCTTGATATTCGAGTGACACAAACAGGACCCAGAAGTAGCCAAGAACCTAACAGGAAGTCTGCCCTGAGTGGGTCTCTGTGGCAGGGCCTCCTGTGCCAAGGACCTGAGGCTCACAGCCATGCCTCAGAGGACTCTCACCAGTCTGTGGAAACTGAGAGGGTAGGGGAGCCCAATATAGACCAGATCTTGAATTACAGCAGCTTCGGGCTTCACCTGGGAGCAATGAAAGAATGAGTGTCAGCACTCCAGGACCAGAGCAGGCAGGGTGGCGTGTTCCTTCCCGGGACCTGGGGAACACCTCAGGACCCCGCCCCTAGTCCATGCCACCTTAGAGAGCAGCAGGGAAAGGGGAGGCATCTGTGATATTGAGCGTTGTTACCCAAAGGACAGCCTATATATTTGCTGAAGACGACACTGTTTAATTGACAAGATTTGCCTACGTTTAATGCAGATCGAATAGTTAAGTTTGATCACCAACCACCCAGGGTGTGCACGGGGGAAAGGAGCAAGCTGTCTGCTGAGGTAAGCAGGGTGACTATAAACAAAAGCAAATTGCCACTTTTTCTCTGCACCAGGGTCATCAGTGGCAGGTAATTTAATGACCCTAGTATGCAGTTAAGCATCAGAGCACACAACACATTTGCCTTCTACTTCTCTCCTCTTCAATGTCTTCAGGGAAAAGTGAATGATCTAATGATTGGCTGTGCATGAGGCCCAGTTCAGGGAGATGAGGTCTCAGTCACATGTCAAGTCTCCTTTCCAGTGGCCCTTATGGCTGAGGGAGACAGTGTCCTCTGGGCTGCACCAGTTGGAAAAGAAGGCAAAGTTTTCACAGCTCTTGTTAGAAG